TGCATGAGACAAGTGCTCGGGCCTGGTGCACTGGGAAGACCCAGAGGGATTGGGTGGAGAGGGAGGTGGTAGGGGGGATCGGGATGGGGAATACATGTAAATCCATGGCTGATTCATGTCAATGTATGACAAAAACCACTGCAACATTGTAAAGTAATTAGCCTCCAACTAATAAAAAAATAAAATAAAAATAGAAAAAAAAAAAACCCAGCATGCAAACTCTTCCAGAAAAATGGGCATTTCTCTCACCCAGAGGAACCTGCAAGGGGACTGCTCAAAATCCACCCAAAGCCCAACTCACTCCTGATCTTGTCACAAACAGACCTCGAGTAATAAAGATGACAGACAACAAAGACTCTTGCCTCTCAAAAAGTGGAAAGAGCGAGCCTGCCTTAATCTGAAGTACATACAAGTCACAGTGCAAGAGCATCAAGTCCTTTCGCCTTGAGGTTGATCAGAACCAGTGCCTGTGGCAACTCAAAGGTAAACTTCAATACGTTATAGGAGTAGTTCTTCTCACCAAGGGCGGTCAGGCTGAGGAACAAGCTGAGGCAAGTCAGAAACTTAAGCATCATAGGAAGGAGGCCAGTAGCAATATTGGCGTTGCTGTTGTTCAGTCGCCCCATTGTGTCTGACCCTTTGCGACCCCATGGACTGCAGCACACCAGGCCTCCCTGTCCCACACCTTCTCCCGGAGTTGGCCCAAGTTCATGTCCATTGTATCAGTGATGCCATCCAGCCATCTCATCCTCTGACACCTTTTTCTCCTTCTGCCCTCAATCCTTCCCAGCATCAGCGATTGTGGCATGTCAAATGTGAGGCTCTTTGTTATAGGTTGTGTCACTCAGAAATCCCTACGGTGGAGTCCTAAACTTATTTGGAAATAAGGGCATTACAGATGCAATTCACATGAAGTCATAATAGAGTGGACCCCTAATCTATTATGGCTAGTGTTGTTATAAAAAGCAGGAATCTGGACACAGACACACACAAGCACGCCTGACTGAGACAAAGGCGGAGACTGGGTGAAACAGCAGAAGCCAAGGAAGCCCAAGGATTCCAGCATAGCATCGAATCATGGAAACGAGGATGGAGCAGATTCCCTCTCAGCCCTCAGAAGGAATCAACCCTGCCCACATCATGATCCTGAATTTCTAGCCTCCAGAACTGTAAGAAAACAAATTCCTGTTTTAAAGCTACCAGGTTTGTGATACTTTGTTAGGACAGCCCCAGCAAGCAAATACAGGCACCAAACATCATACAACTTGCAGCCACGTCCAGCTCTGCGACCCCATGGATTGCAGCCCACCAGGCCCCTCCCTCCATGGAACTCTCCAGGCAAGAACACTGGAGGGGGTGGCCATACCCTTCTCCAGGGAATCTTCCCAACCCCAGGATCAAGCCCAGTTCTTCCTCACTGCAGGCAGACTCTTTACTGACTGAACCACCAGGGAAGCCTGAGCTGCAGAAAGGCATTCTTCTCTATGTTTAATAGTAAGTTATCAGTTTTGAAGTGGTGATGGCATTCAGGCAATTTTGTTTTGCCTTTGCCAAAACATCATGGGTCAGTGGCAGACAATGGCAAAAGTTTTGATCAGGTGGCCGGTTCTTAGAGTACAGAACGTGTCCTCTGCAGGAGAGCACAAAGGTACAAGCCCTGGCTGCCTCTCAGAGCGCTTCCATTCATCCCTGGGCAGGTGATCGAGGTCTATCCCACACAGAGGGAGAGAGAGAGAGCCATGCAGTCCAGTGAGGGGGAGCTACCAGCCCCCATCTATAGCAGCCAGAGAAAGGGGGCATGGCTTCTGCCTTGGTGCCCCTGCCACGCACAGCTGCCAAAAGTATGTCTGTCTTTCGGGTTAAGTCCCCTTCTGCTGCTGCTATCTCCTCTAGGATGTCTTCCAGGGTTTTTCTCAGCCAGTGCAGTGGCGCATCCTCGGGGTCCCAATGCACTCTATCAGTGAGTGCATGTCTCATGTCTGTATTTCCCAAAGGATAGAACATCTGTGGGGTAGTTCCCGGGTAGTTCAGCTAGTAAAGAATCCATCTGCTATGCAGGAGACCCCAGTTCGATTCCCGGGTAGGGAAGTTCCCCTGCTACCCTCTCCAGTATTCCCAGGCTTCCCTGGTGGGCTCAGATGGTAAAGAACCCACCTGCAATGCAGGAGACATGGATTTAATCCCTGGGTTAGGAAGATCCCCCAAAGAAGGGAATGGCTACCCACTCCAGTCTTCTTGCCTTGTCCAGATTGCCCAGATTCTGGACAATCTCCATGGACAGAGGAGCTTGGCGGGTTACGGTCCATGGGGTCGCAAACAGTCGGACGTGAGTGAGCGACAGAACACAGCACAGCACAGAACATCTATGAGAGCGGGCTCCATGCTGTTATATTCACTTTTGCACCTAGCAAATTTTTTCCAAAGGCCTAAAACAAAATAGGTGTTATCTAATTAAATAATGATTTTCCCTGAAAGCTGCTCATATCAAGCTATTCCAAGACAGATAATTTAGAAATGCCCTTTAGGAATTGGGATCTACATGACTATAACATTCTGAAGTTTTCCATCAAAATATGAGACAATTACATTATTTCAGCTTTGTGTCAGACCTTTAAATCATTTTCTAAAATGGCATTTCTTCTGGATTTTTGGATGTTTGCTTTAATATTTTATCTATTTTATTTGTTATGATCTTTCATCTCATTTAAAATAAAATATCCACTAGTAATAAAGTAAAATACGAGGCACAAAACTCAAGGCCAAACTGATCTCTCTGGAAGCGAGGTAATACTGTTCCCTGAGGAGTTCTAGTTGGCTGAAGTTGCATAATAGTCTGTCTTTTCCACAATCTCTAGACTGTCTTACAAAAACATGAAACAAAGTGTAGAAACACAGTGTACCTGGGTCAAACTGAACCAGCTTCGATGGAGTCATGGTGAAATCCTTTCCAAGTGTAGCTGACACTTGGTTGACCTTAAGAGGGAAAAAAAAAAAAAGACATTCTTTTAACAAAAATATGCTGTGATAGAGAAATACTGAGTCTAATCTCATACTAGACTAACTCATGTTCTTAAATCTGTTTCTAACATAAACTTATGTTTTATTATAATACATCATCTTGGGTCCATTTTCCTTAAAGTTAACTTTTTTCCTAGACTAATATCAATGGAAGTAAACATAAAACTTTTTATTTTTTGGCTTCTCCTTTATAAATAATTCAGTTGTTGGAGAAAGTAATGTGAATTTTAAACAATATTTTTCTCTTTGCTATAGATAATCATTTTATTCCAGGGCCTTCCCGCTACCCCAGCATAGTCCTAAAATCACGCCCTGGAGGAAAGGAAGGGATCAGAGGAGAGAAGGAAAAGTGGAGAGAAGAGGAGGAACAGAGGAGAGAAGGAAAATCACTCTCCTGACAGAGTGCTGCTCTGTCAGCCAGTCGGAGGGATCCCACGAGCTCAGAGCGCAGCCTTCAGACCAGATGAATGAACACAAGTCCGGTCAGTTCTCCTGTCTGGATGAAGCCATTCCCCTTCACAGGCAGGAAGGAGGGCTCTGTGGGGATGACGGACCTGGGGAACAGCCACATAGAGGCCACCCACACCCAGAACTCAGGGCTTTAGAAGTCCCTTCAAGTAAGTTGTAAAAAAAATAAAATAAAATTGCTCTAGTCTAAAGAGACTACTGGCTGCTCCCCTGATCCCCTTCCCTGGGGCTGAAGGACAGAGATGATTTAAGGACTCTGACATCGTGCCCTTAACTTCCCCCAAGGAGCCTAAATATATGTGAGGAACCCATATTTAGTTTGAAACACGGTTGAAAAAGAGTTTGAAAAAGAGGCTTCAGCTGGTTTGAAAAAGAGGTCATTGAATGAGATGTTTGGGAAAGTGGGTTACTCATTTCTTCACTTTCTTACAAGGGACGAAGGGCACAATTCAAAATGCACAGATTCCTATTTCTTTGGTCTCAGACATGATCTCCATTTCTACGAAATACCCTAACATCTGCCAGTGGTCTGCAGTGGAAATGCTTTGCTCAAGAAGAGTCCAGCCAGGTGAATAAAGCTGCACACGTAGAGAACCCATATGTGGACGCAGCGGGCGGAGGAGAGGGTGGGACGGATTGGGAGAGTAGCATTGACATATATACACTACCAGTGCAAAACAGCTGGATATTGATACATCGACATATATACACCAACGTGTGCAAAATAGGGAGCTACCACGTGGGAAACAGACAGCTGCTGCATAGCACAGGATGCTCAACTTGCTGCCATGACCTAGATGAGTGGGCTGCAGGTGGGAGGGAGGAAATTTAAGAGGGAGGGGATACATGTATACACAGAGTTTATTCACTTTGTTATACAGCAGAAACAAACGCAACATTGTAAAACATTTATACTCCAATTAAAAAAAAGAGTACTGCCTCCTAAGCCCCTATTTGCTCTTTCCCTATGATGCCAAGGTTCCTCCCAAACAACCTTTCCCTGTGGAAAGGCAGCCCATTGTACACCTGTACCCACCATATGCTGGGAGTTGCATTTCCCCGTGTGGTTCCTGCACGTGCAATTACCTAGTATTTACCACCACTGAGTTTACAGAATCCTACGTGGGAAAAGAAATGGGCTAAAGCGAGGTGGTTGCAGCAGTCAGTCCGGCTCAGGTTGGTGACTCAAACCAAGGCAACACAGAAGGTAGAAGCGCTTTCTTAAGCAGCCAATCAGCTCTGGTCTAAAGTGGCAGGCTGTGCTGTGGGCAGAGTGGTCCCTGAAAGACTCAGGCTATTTGAGAAAGGCTGCAGACACAGCCGGCAGCTTGACTGTGCATGCTCAGCTTCAGCAGACAAAAGACTCCCTGTCACACCAGGACTGTTCTTCCTGCCTGGCAAGGTGAACAGTTCTGTGGCCCAAAACTCCAGACTAGAGCATATGGTGCTTTCTCTGGAGGCCCAGAAGATTATTAGGAAACCATCCACGCAGAGTCTTTCTTTTTCCATAACCAATGTACTGGGAAGTTATAGGGGACACCAAGTTATCTGATCCTTTAACAATCATAAAGCACCCGTAGATCAGGGAAACAGAACCTATGCCCACTGGAAAGATAAATGCTGAGTCTGGGATATAGTATAATCTACGTGCACAAGGTTCTGAAGGTGATTTGAACTTATTATTGTAATTGAGACTTCACTGAGATGGCATTTCCCCCCAGAACCTAATATCACTGCTTTTTTTTTCCCCTTTAGATTAAGGAGGGAGTCTTTACCAGCATTAGTATGTACAGGCTTTTCATGCTCTCATTCTCCCAATGTGCAGTTTTTCTAGTGACTCCTTAAAATCGCTTCCATTTGCTCCATGTTCCACGTCAGCAGAAAGAAATATCAGGTGACTAGTCCAAAATTAATTATTTAAAATTTCTTATATTTCAGGGTGCCTCTATTGCTACATAGCCTCTTAACTTTGCATGACTTGGCTGATGCTTAAAACAGGTGTAATCCCTGACTTTTCTCATCCACTGAGACCATAGGAAGTGATCTTGGTGCATGCTAAGAGAAAGCCATACAGGGACTGAAATTTGCAGACAACTTTCCTTTCCAAAGCAGAGTTTGGCCCAAGTTCACTAAGTTGGGTAGATCTTATGAAATCAAACTTCAAGAGTTAAAGATCAGATTTAAAAACTAAAGATGGGTTAGAAATAGCATATGTAGGAGCTAATGTACCTTGTTAAATGATGGAGGGACAAAGAGGTTTTGTCCTTAGACTCTCCAGAACAGAGTAACACTAATGCAGTCTGAATTTCTCTAAGGAAATAGTCAAAGGCACCAACCAGCAACCTAGGCTTTAGCTTGAAAAATGATAATTTAGAGTTGTTACCTGTACACTCACAAAGGCCGAGTCCATGGAATATCCCCTTCTGGTAATTTCCAAGGGCAACATGCCCATATTCTCACAGACCTCATATTCAGCCCGCGACCATTCAATATGAGACCACTTCAGTTCCAAACTATGCATGTAAGAAAAGAAAAAAGAAAATCATGAGACACGCAAAGTGGAAGCCTGTGGGGCTCCTCTGCTGGGTATAAAGCAAGCACTGGTTCAAACTGAGAGAAAAAAGTGGTTCATCAACCTACACCAGTGCTACAAACTCTTTGCATATGTTTGGTACCTTTTAGTTCACAAAGAACATCTACCAGCATTATCTCATTTGTTACTCTCAATACTGCTGTAAGGTAGACAGAGCATGTATTAGAATTCTATTTTATAAATGCAGAAATAAGATTAAAAGCCTATCCAAGCTCTGCAGTGATCAATGATAAAGAAAGGGACTCAAACTTGACAGTGTTTGAAAGGGAAAGGAGCAGGTGGTTAAGTTCAAGGAGACATTCATTTTTGGAAAGGACATAGATATGAAACTTCTCTCCTATATTTTGGCCTCCTTCAGTGATACAAGATCATTTCTAGGCACAGATCTCCTCTAAACTCAGGTTCAGTTTAATAACAAGATGCCTTTGAGGAGTGTCTAGGAATTAGAATGTGCATGTATTTTACAAGTTTATCCATCTCTCCTCTGTACATGTGAAAGGACTGTACTAACATATAGCTTGATTGCAGCTATACAACTGAATCAACCTGATAAAGAGAGAGTGGTCTTTTTTTCCACTCTATGTTTAGTGAGTCCAACATTGGATAGAAACTGACTTCTTTAATCCTCATAATACAAAGAGGTACTTTTTACTGTCTTTTTCCTTTTCTTCAGAAAAGAACACTGAGTTTAGAGAGGTTAAATAACTAGCTCGAAGGCAAAATGCTATGACAAAGCTAATAGACAGCGGAGATAGAATCCCTCCCAGAAATCTGAAACCAAATGTTTTGTTCCTTCTCTACCATTCTTCCTCCCAACTAAAGTTCTTCATGACTCTTGTGGTCTGAGCTCAAGCAGTGGACTACAATTTTATCTTTATCCTGAAATATTTCCCTTTTTGAAGTGAGAAAACTTGAAATGGTTCACCTGAACAGTTCTCTTCAAAGGTTTTCTTACATTTTTTACCCCCTGTAACCTTCAGCAACATAAAGACATGAACAATCTTCACTATGAACATTTAAGTCACTTCCATTGTTTTGGTTTTATTCATTTTCCTTTCACTCTCCATTCATAAAACCCCCAGAGTTTGCCTTACTGTATTCCCAAACGTCCACTTAGATTCAGGTCTTTCCTCTAGACTTTTAAATTTGCTTCTTACAGTGTTTTTCCTTGCAGAGCTAGAAATTCTGGGTGCTACTGAGTAGAGTGTGGAGTTCACAATTTCAAAGAACACGCCACACTTTCCTGGAGATCATTCCTAATAGAGAGTAATACCAGTCAGTTGTGTGTCACAGTCACATGCTATATATTAAGTTCACTAGCAAAACAAACTCAACAGCACTGTGTTCTATTCTACCAACCAGCAGCCAGCGAGACAAAGGTAGTGTGGAAACATGGAATTATTCCAGAGGTTCAAGAATTTGTATTAATATATATGTTTATTCAATCAATAGACATGACATTTATTGTTATTGGCGTGCTGGGCTTCACAAAACTTTGACATGAAAATAGGATACTTTTATTAAATAATATTGGGAACCTCATGGGCCTTGATGAAATTGATTTCAAATCTGACAGGAGACAGATCAAGAAAGAAAGACATGACAATGCTTAAAGAATCACAAGATAACAAGCAACACGGATGTTATAAACGCCAATAGAAATAACATGTTGCAAAGAATTCCTAAAGGATCCAGCCACATAAGAAAGGGAAACAAAATCAACAAGAATGATTGGAAGAGAAAACAGGAAGCTAAAACAGGAAGGAAAAGGGAGCAGTGGGAACCAGTGAAATAGATACACAGGGATGGATTTCAACTAAGTCTGCATAAGGTTCAAATGTGTTTCAAGGTTCAATCTTCTATGAATCTATGCATTGCTAATGCTAACCACGACCAGCAAAAATTCATCAATGTCACTCTGCAGGTCCAGATGACCTTGAGGCCTAAAGTGAAGTGTGATTTGATTGCTGATCTAGATCCATAAGGGGATCATGCAGAGTGATGTTCAGTTTCAAAGCATTAAGGGTTTTGGTGTTTGGGAACATCCACACATCACCCTGATATATCATTGGAATGCTGCACGATGCTTAGAGGTTAAGGTTGTAATTACACAATGTTCTATTTTACTTTCTTAAAACTATTCCCAATCCATGGCAATTCATTTCAATGTATGACAAAAACCACTGCAATGTTGTAAGGTGATTAGCCTCCAACTAATGAAAATAAATGGAAAAAAAAATACCTATTTAAAAGCCACGAAATTTAAGCCAGGCTATATATTTTTCAGAAAAATATATAAATCATGAGGCACTCGCATACCCAGAGGATATGTGTGACACATGCTTTGAAAGTGTTTTTTGTTTTCTGTATATTGTATTTAAGAAGGTCTTTCTACACTGAGCCTACAGTTGCTTAAACTCTACACAAACCCTTGAAAGAAAATTAAGAGATGTAGTCAGTCAGCTGGGAATTCTCCCTGCAAGAAGCCACACAGAAGTATGTTTGGTATCATGTAGATAAGCAGGTGCAGAAGCCCATGAGAGAGCTGTGGAAAGCTCCGGACTGGGAGGTGTCAGGCAGACAGGGGTTGGTTCACATCTTCACATTTTAATGACTCCCCTCTTCTCTTCTCACAAAGCTAAGCTCGTTCTGAAGTCAGAAATGAAGTTTACAGACACACTTTCTGTGAAACCCACATGGCAATCATTGATAGTCAGCAGAACACAAGAACTCCTCAAGCCCTGAGGTCGGGGTTTCTTGGCCTTGGAACTACTGACATTTGGGACCAGGTCATTCTCTGTGGTGGGAGGCTGTCCTACGCACTGTAGGATGTGTCCCTGTGGGGACCTCCTCACTGATCTAGTGGTTAAGACTCTGCCTTCCAATGCAGGGGGCACAGGTTCTATCTCTGGTCAGGGAATTAAGATTCCACATGCTGTGGGGTGCAAGCAAAAAAAAAAAAGTTTAGTAACATCCCTGGCTTCTACTCACTAGATCCATTAGATGCAGCCATGCCATTCCATTCCAGTTACAATAGTCAAAACTGTTTCCAGACATTTCCAAATGTCCCTCATGAGGAAAGTCATCCTCAGGAGAGAAACCTTCCTGAAGTGATTTCACAGACTCATCACAACAGAAAATTCTATTTAATCTATAAGCCAAGTTGTGGTTCTCAACAACTATCGTGAATGAAAGACATAGTCTGCGGGGTCTGCCCCAGCTGTTTAATTTCTATTCCTCCATCCTAAGTCTTTCACAATGTAGGGCTGAAACCATCACAATATTGTAAAGTAATCATCCTCTAATTAAAATAAAAATTAAAAAATAAGGGCAACAGTACCTAGCATATGTAATAAAAAGCTATAACATCTCACATGAAAAAGAAATTAAAAATTGGTAAATGAGCATTCTATCATAAAACATGATGTCTTATTTTCTAAGGCACAGGCGTGCTTCTTAACATTTGACAGCATCTAGAAACAGCTTTATTTTTCATAATGGGAGGAAGGTGATACTGGTATTTAGTGAGTGGAGTCCAGGGATGTTGCTAAATACCCTTCAATGTACAGGATACATTGAGCTCACCCTCCACCCAAGCCCCACGACAAAGAATTGTCTGGATCAAATAGTCAAGAGTGTTGAAGCAGAGTCAAAAATACATACTTTCTTATATTCTATTTTATGGCTGCTGTTGCTCAGGCACTAAGTCATATTTGACTCTTTGCGACCCCATGGACTGCAACACGCCAGGCTCTCCTGTCCTTCACCATCTTCCAGAGTTTGCTCAGATTCATGTCTACCAAGTCGGTGATGCTATCTAACCATTTTGTGGCTACTTGGTTCATTTATATGAAGGAACAATGAACCAAATAACCATTTGGGATTAAACTCTATTTTGGGATTTGGGACATTAATCTAGATTAACAAGCAAATGTAAAAAAGGTACTTGGCTGCTCTCTGCCTCAGTTTCCTCACTTCCCCAAGTACAATAATAATGAGTCTGTACTTCAAAGAGGTTCAATGAACCTTAATGAACACTCATTAAGTACTCTGAGCTTCTCAGTGAAAGGTTTTATAGTAGCTAAAACTGTGATTAAATTATTCTCATAACTAGATCTTCAGTTATAATCAAGTAGCATATGACTTAAGAAAATCAAAATGTTAAAAAATATTTTCTAAGGATTCAATCCAAGACTTATCAATTCAAAGAGGATGCTATTAAGCTCCATAAAAATGCTATGAACACCTGTGTTTTCCTTTCTGTCTTTCTCTCATGATAATGGAGAAACGGTGTTTAGTCAGGAAGCAGCATAGTGAGTACCCCAAACAAGTGCTTTGGAGTCAGATACATCTCATAACCACTTATTAGTGTGTGATTATGGTCAGCTACTCAGTCTCTCTGGACCACAATTTTCATCATCTGTAAAATGAGGGAAATTACATTCATGTCAAATGATGCAAATTAAAATTTGCTAATATGTATAAAGCACCTGTACACAGTGGGTGCTTAATAAGGGCTATTTCCCTTTCCTTCCTCTGTGGTTTCTTAGATCTAATCTAGAGACAAATACTTTAACTTCTGGCTTGCAGGTAACATGAAAGCTTTACCTAACCAAGAGTTTCAACCTCTTCCCCTATAACGTGTTTCATAAAAGTTGTTAAAGCATCACTAAGTTCGCCTGCTAGGGAGGAGAAGGAGCGAGGTGCTTGGAATCATGGAGTAGCTGCAGAAGCAGTCGCTGAGTTATGAAGAACTTCAACAGGGGTCAACTTTCATTCTGAAGTTCACCTTTTCTGCAGCGGGTGTAAGAAAGAGGTCAACACTGAACGCATGTTAAGAAACTGCCTTGGTCAGACGTCAGCTACATTCTGTAGTCTGCAGAGGTGTTTTTGATGAATAATGAGGTCCTATGTGACAGAGTTTGGGTGGGATGCAGACCATCTTGAGATTCACACTGGACGTGAGAACGGCATGCTAAGGCATGCGCCGAGAAGATGAGCACTCACATTGAGGTCAGGAGGTCATGGTGCACTGTGGGCCCTGCCATTTATTCACTTAGTGGCTGCTGGCCAATTACTTAGATGCCTTGAGCCTGATTTCCTTATCACCCTCAGAGAACTTTTTTGCAGATTAAAATGGAAAACATATGTGAAAGCACCTAGCACAGTGCCTGAAATTTAGGCACTCAACCAAATCTAAATTTTGATGCAAATTCCCATGGATTTTAACGTTCTATAGTAACTTCTATTTACAAATGTCTCCTAAACATATCACATGAAAAGCTTGTGCCATGAGCTATTCTGGGGCAGGGTGGTCTTGGTTTTATAATTAAACCATATAGAGATATGTTGCATACTATATCCCTCTCTTGAAGATTCCCAATGCACACATGCATCTTTGTGACTTTGGCAATGTGATGCATTATGCAGCACTCAAGCTAATTAGTGAGTCATAATAACTTGATCACATCAAGATTTCCTATCACTATTTCTAATGGAAAGTCTATTGACCCTTCAGGACTGATGCACAATAGAAATGCTGCCATAGCAAAAACTTATTACCAACCAAGACTCCGGGACAATTCTCACTGAACATGAATCCTTCTTATTCTATGAAGAGCCTCCTTTCTGCTCCTGATTGCATCCACCAGTCCCTCTAGCTTCATTGCAGAATGTTTTCACCCCTTGAAATATGCAGAATATTAATCTATTAATCCTAAACCAAACAAGAACACAAAGTTCACTGCATTTAGATTATTAACAAGAGTATGGATTTGTTCACTCTGTGAACATCTCAGAGTCCCTTTCTAAGTCATGAGGGGCCTTAGCTGGCCACCAACGGCCTCTGGGATACTTCTGCAGTCAGTCGCTGCCCCCTGCATGAGCGCACAACAATAGTAATCACCACCACAGGTCCTGTTTGTCAAGGACTTTAAATAGATGCTCCCACATGTTTTACCTCATTTGTTCCTCTAAATAAATTGCAATACTGCCTCCAAATTACAGATGAGATAACTAAGATAACTAAAGACTTGACCTAGGTCAATGGCAAAGTCAAAGCCCAAACCCTGTTCTTTGGCTCCGAGTCCAGCGGTTTACTGTATATTATCTATCCCATTATCCCCAGTGTATTAGCCATGGAGTACACACTCATATTGAGACCTGTAATTTACATTTAAGCTCCTGGAGGAGTAAGTCTTCTTCCTTTCTTGTTGCTTTGATGGCCAAAGATTGGAGAAAACTATGGAGCTGAGTCTATGGCTTCTTTCCCCTTAGGCCAGTTCAGCACACTCATTAAGAGTAGGCAAGAAGAACTTTACTGCAGTGAGGAAAACCACAGATTTGAGAGTCATAATTTCTGTACCAAAATCTCACCTCCTTCTCTGATGAGCTGTATGAGCTTGGAAAAGTCACTTCCTATCTCCTTGCCTCAGTCTCCTCACCTGTAAATTCTGGATTATGATGGTAACTTAACGGTTGTTGTGATGATTAAATGAAGAGCAATAAAGTAGAGCAGAAAGCTATAGTATAAATGACTATGATTTACTCTATATAGGCAGCTACGTTCCTGCTAGCTCTGGGAAGACAGATCATTATTCATAACATTGTTTCCTACTGGAAAAAAAAGTTCTTCTTGCTCCAAAAAGTATCTACTTACAATGAGTTTAGAGACAACTATATCCTCCAAAACCTATAAAGATAAGTGCTTAGTAACTTCTACTTGCTTTTCCCTCCACCCACTCTAGAGAAAACAACTTAATATATGTCGGATCAACTCAAAGTTATTTGGGGATTAACTCTCAGTGGACATATTTTGCATTATATTCCACTGACTCCAATCATTACAAGCTGAATTAGAAACATCTTCAGCATAGGTACCTGAAAACAGGTATCCAGCAGGAGTCTATTTTAAAAGTCTCAAGTAAAGTTCTAAATTCTGAGGTTCTGTAATAAACTTGAAGATTATTCAAAATCATAAATCATCTTCAAAAGCAGTGTCCTTGGTTACAATGAGGAACTGGGGCGGGGGGGGGGGGGGGGCAGTATGTAGAAACTTCCCTGGTGATCCAGTGGTTAAATGCTGTGCTCCCAATGCAGGGGGCATAGGTTTGACCCCTGGTTGGGAAACTAAGATTCTACATACTGCAAGATGTGGCCAAGGAAAAAAAGAGGTTTGTGGATGAAGCAATATCAATCTAGCTCTATTTCTGTGTTCCCATGTGGAAGACCAATGGTCAGCATTAGATCAGTAGCAAGTCTGATCAATATATTTTTATGTTTATATGTTGAACTATTAAAAAGCAAGTGAAATCAAGTTATTAATATTTTTGAGTAGGATTTTCTAAAAAATTCTTGAGAATTGAATACATTTGTCTGAAACTGCAAGTAGGTAATATATTTTCTATAAAGATTATAATCCCAAGGAGCCATTTTTCTGAGGCAAGAGCATTTTAATGGGAAGTGGGCATCTGTTTTAATTTTAAAGTGTCATGATAGAATTTTCATGTCAGGGTCCAGTTCTTCCTTGCTCACACCTATTTCCCAGATGAGGCTTATACTGCGCACCTGGCCTATAGTAGCCACTCAATAAAAACCTGGACCAGATTTTTTTTTAATACTACTGGCAACAGAGGTGCAATTCTGAGAACAGGTTTTGTCCAAGATGCAATTTTCTAACAATGACTACAGAGACCTCTGCTGGTAGATACTGGAACTACAATTCAGAATCAGAAAGGAAAAGCACAAGTGAAGAGATCAGAGGTGAATTTCTCAATTTTCTCGTCTTTCTTTGTCCATACTCTGTCATAAAAGCCCCGTAAGAAGCTGTCCTCATTATGGTGTGTGGTTTGATAGAGTCAATACTAAAACTAGAATAAATGAACAACTTTTCTCTGAGGTGAGTGGGAAGGGTATCAAACTTCGAAAGAAAGAAAACCCACCGTACGTGGAGAACTGGACTGTGATTTCTGGGACCATTTGATAGCTGTTATTCAAGGTGTACCTTAAAAAAAAAATCTAGACTAGTGACCTGGTAAGTGAAATTACTATGGTCTGTTAATATGGTTAATCTTGAGGATTTGATACTCTGGATTTTCTGAGGGTCCTACATTTGACATAACTTCAAAGTATTACTTAATGCCTCCCCCAAGTCTGTTTTCCTCTTTCACACTGTCTTCACCTTACCCATGTTAGGTTTATTAACTTACAAAAGGAGTCGCTAGTAATTGCTTGGGTTTGGGGGGAAGAGAAGTTGTTTTGCTAAACTTTCCTGACTCCCTCATTCTCTAGATATTTTAGAAATTTAGATTTAGGAAACTGGGTCCTAACACAGTCCTAGAGTGACCTCCTGCTGCATGATATGTACATGAGCCTACAAGCCCAGTCCTGGACACCAGTGATTCGTCAAGACAGAAGCCTCTGTGGGTGTGAAAGGATATGCATTTGTAAATGCATGCATAAAATGAATGACCCAGCCCCAAACAGCTAAACTTTCTAACACTCCCATATTCTGTGAGCATCAAGCAGAACTTCCCCGGTGGCTCAGTGGTAGAGAATCTGCCTGCCAATGCAGGAGACACAGGTTTGATCCCTGATCCAGGAAGACCCCTGGAGGAGAAAATGGAAATCCACTACAGAATTCTTGCCTGGAAATTCCACCGACAAAGGCGCCTGGAAAGGGCTACAGTCCATGGGGAAGCAAAAGAGTCGGATACAACTTAGTGACTCAACAGCAACAATAGAAGTTTCTCTTTCTAAAATAAATTCTATGAGCTTGGGAAGTCATCTATCAATTTGTCCTCTTCGATTCTGTTTAAAAAAGAACATTTTACTTTCCTCATCAGACACATTCCGGACATTATATGCACGACTATTTAAAAAGCAAAAGAATCTACCTTTGAGGAGTGGCAGAGTTCCCTGTGGGATCCATGACTTGAAATTCCATGGTATCTGAATTTACTTCCAAAGATGGGTTTATGATGTAAAGAATGGTCTTACTATTTAAGTCCTTTTGGCTAAATTTCTCATGGATAAATTCACCTACAAAAAAGAAGTAAAGGATTTTCATCAGTAATCAAACAAAATATTAGATGAGAGCTGATACAATATTTATGGCTGTTTTATTTTTAAACTCCTCTTTTAAAATATTTAAAGTAAATCTTTTAAAGAAATTAATAAAATGTAACCATCTTAAAACTCAAAGTCAATGAACTTAAATTAGGCTTCAAAATTACTTTGTTTCAAACATTTTACCTTAAATATGAAAACAGAGAGTGAATAGGACAATCTAGCAATAAAATCTAAAATTCTGTGCCATCCTGTGAATCACTATCTTCATAAAGTAGAAATAACATACAATTCAGAGAAAACTTACATCAAAAAACTGTTTTTAATGAACTTACGTCGCTCAGAAATTCATGATATAAGAAAATGAGTCACAAATATGAATTTGGTCCTGACAATGTATTCCTATGAATACCTTACAATCTTAGCTGTTGAAAAAAAAGTTATACAAAATAAACAGTTGTGTATCAGTATCTAGTTCTCCCACTCAAGATGAATTTAGGAAAACTCAGCTTTAAATCCTCTTTAGCATGGATACTGATTTATAAACTGCATCTATCAGTAAGGCTTGGGGAGTATTTACCAAAAGGGCCTGAACTTAATTACAAATTACCCTCTAGATTGCCAACCACTGAGTGTTTTAAAATGAGCAAGGATTAACGAAGGGAGTACCTGTTATTGAATTCTCCAGATGCCCATGTTGGGGGCCTCGTAAAATCTTAAAGATGATCTGATTGTCATCAGTGTCGGGGTCTGATGCCTTCAACACGCGGGAAGTGATGTAAATCCCGTAACAACCATTTTTCAGGAGCCCTACTTGAGAAGGGGAATGCAAGTGTGTGATGCGGGGGGCCGCTTTGTCCAACTGGTCCACCTGAATGATCAATAATCACACACAACATTAAGCAAAGGCTTCTCATTCCCAAGCAACATGGGGGCTTAAATGGTACAATGACAAACTCTCCTGAATGTCAGATTCCTTATCTCCTCATTGGTTAACCTCTGTTAAAAGCTACCTCATTCACAATATCTTCAGCAAATATCATAGTGCCCAGAAGAGAGGTTAACTTCCTGTTGTAAGCTTTGACTCAACTTTCTTTACTTGCCCACTGTCTGACTCCCCCGTTAGACCTAAGCTCCCCGAGGTGGCACCGCGTCTTTTTTTCCCCTCAACTATTCCCTGCACCTGGCACAATGCCCAACCATTACAGAAGCTCAGGAAATACTTGTTGGATGAATATATCAAAACTGACCCAGGAACTGTATCGCAAACTTAATATTAGTTCTACAAAAGCATTTCCCCCTTCTCCCAGTGCTTGGTGATTTACAGAAACAATGCTATAAAGGTCTACAAATATGCTGAACCTTTCTTTGTCATGTCTTGGTTTAAATAGCAAAAATATTGAGTAGCAATAAAACTACTTCAGTAAAAAAAAGGTGGAAGGTGCTTAGCTATGGGTATTGAGTATTTGTTTTATTGATAGAACCAGGTAACTGAACAGGTAGACTCAATTTGTAAAGGCTGTGATGGGCAATTACTCATGAGTAAAAGAGGTACATAAGTCAGACACTACCAAGGACCTCACTTGCATATGGTATGGAATCATTAGAAATAGAAATGACTCTTATTGGTTACAGAGGGAACATTTTTGGAAGAATTAGCATAATTCGTCACTGATACCACGAACGAGATACAAGAACACAATCCTTGTTCCCTTCATTTCTAATCACGCAAATTTTAACTTTAATCCCAAATGAAACTATTATAATTCTAGCAAAGTAAACAATGAGTGTCCACAATAAGACCATATATTTTTTGTGTGTTTATATAATAAACTGCCAGTCAGCTATTGATAAGAAAAAGAGATAGGATAAACTAGTAACAAAAAAAGTCCCACAACTCAGTGTTAACCAATAAAAAATAAAAACCAGAAAGTTTCAGGATACCATTTTTGTTCAAAACAAATACATAAATATGTTCACACAGACATAGACAAAATTTTGGGAGCATGTGTACAAACATGTTCATTTGTCTTCAGATGGGAAAAATAACTTTTTTGAGTATTTCTATATGGAATTTTTTAATGGTGAAATATTTTTCTGTTAAGTTGGCAATCTGCTTTTTTAAATAAAAAAGTAATCACACCTCACATTGTTAAATGTTTGAAGAAATAGACATTTTTATATTTTGTTGGAAGGAAAGCAAATTAGTGAAAACCTTTTGGAGATAAATTTGACATACATGTATATTAATAATATGCATATACTGTGATTCAAAATTTCTACTTTTTCAGTATACCCTGCAAAAATAGATATGTAGACAAAGAATATATATATGAATATTAATTAAAATATAATTTGTAAAGGCAAATGGTAAAAAATTCCATAAAACTTGGAAGTCCTACAGGGGAGTTGTAAACTATCTCTGCCTGAGATTGAGTGCCATGCAGCCTTTGTCAATTATGTTATCAAGGAAGATTTAATGACATATGGAAATTTTTATGAGTGGAAAGAAATAATATGCTTAATAGTACATAGAGTATCATCTCTTTTTCATTTCAGTAAAAGACTGCAAGCAAGCCACTGATGACAGTGGGATAATGAAGAATTACTTTCTAGACCTTTTCTGTAGTTTATGAATTTTTTAACAATAATTATTTTGTAAGCTGAAATAGCAACGCACAGTTTCAAAAGGTTATAGTCATTCTCCGTCCCTAAAAGAGTGAGGATGGCACCCTCAGAGCTGTGAGGTGGGAAGGCAGTTATCATGGCCTTTTGGGGGAGAAGCTCCAGGGTGACTAGGATGAAGTACAGTCAATGGCAAGAGAAGAAAAATAAAGATATTTTAAGACATGTGAGTAATCCTTAAAGTTGGTAAATACTTGAGTGTGCGGGTTTATTTTTTTTTTAATTATATTTTCCTTAAGAATAGAAGTATTATAAAAGGAATAAATGCCTGCAGTAATCCTTTGCTTTGAAAAAGGTTAATATCTACACTTTGGTCTTTGGGTCCCCTGCTGTGTCTTTCGTCCTCTGTGTTAAAATCCATCCTAAATTTCTAGTTTCTTCTTCAAAAGCAGGTCTTTTGATTCAGGATACCAGAAGCACTTTAAAATATTAGCGTATAGACATTTTTTTTAAAAAAGGCTACATCCTTACAACCATTTCTGTTGGATTTACTAAAACTTACGTCACACTTGCCTAAACCATAGGAAGCAGCGACACTGGTCCTCTGTCCCTCACCCCCACCCCCATCTCCTTCTAAGAAAGATTACAGAAATCATTATCAATGGCAAGAGAAGAAAAATAAAGATATTTTAAGACATGTGAGTAATCCTTAAAGTTGGTAAATACTTGAGTGTGCGGGTTTATTTTTTTATTTATTTTTTTCCCTTAAGAATAGAAGTATTATAAAAGGAATAAATGCCTGCAGTAATCCTTTGCTTTTAAAAAGGTTAATATTTACACTTTGGTCTTTGGGTCCCCTGCTGTGTCTTTGGTCCTCTGTGTTAAAATCCATCCTAAATTTCTAGTTTCTTCTTCAAAAGCAGGTCTTTTGACTCAGGATACCAGAAGCATTTTAAAATATTAGCGTACAGACATTTTTTTTAAAAAAGGCTACATCCTTACAACCATTTCTGTTGGATTTACTAAAACTTATGTCACACTTGCCTAAACCATAGGAAGCAGCGACACTGGTCCTCTGTCCCTCACCCCCACCCCCATCTCCTTCTAAGAAAGATTACAGAAATCATTGCACCGAGACTGCAGAATCTTGGTCAGCAACACAGGAAAACCATGACTCAAAATGATACATGTGCCCCACGTTCATAGCAGCACTATTCACAATAGCCAAGACACGGAAGCAACCTAAATGTCCATCGATAGATAAATGGATAAAGAAGATGTGGTACACAATAGAATACTACTCAGTCATAAAAATGAATGAAATAATGCCATTTGCAGCAACATGGGTGGACCTGGAAATCATACTAAGTGAAGTAAGTTAGAAAGAGAAACACAAATATCATGTACATGTATCATTCTGTGTGGTATCTAAAGATCACACAAATGAACCTATCTATGGAACAGAAACAGAATCACAGACATAGAGAATGGACTGGTGGAGAAGGGGTTGGGGGAGGGATGCAGTGGGAGGTTGGGATTAGCACGTGTAAGCTCTAATATATATTAATAAAATGGATAAACAACAAAGACCTACTATATAGTATAGAGAACTATATTCAATATCCTACAATAAATCATAACGGGAAAGAATACCTTAAGAAAGAAGGAATGTAAATATATGTACAGCAGAATCATTTTACTGTAAGTAACACATTGTAAATATTCAATTAAAACAAAGATGCAGAATCTTAGACAGACAGACATGATTTCCTACAAAATGAATGTCAGATTGGTGCCTGTTGGTGTCAATAAAAGACAACTGTATTTTGTGTTTAAGTCCTGTAGCTTTGCCCTAAGTTACTCAGTTTGGGAACATAAGTGGTATACCTATGTTTAGGAGATTCAGTTCAGTTCAGTCACTCAGTCGTGTCTGACTCTTTGCAACCCCATGGGATGCAGCAAGCCAGGCCTCCCTGTCCATCACCAACTCCCAGAGCCTACTCAAACTCATGTCCATTGAGTCGGTGATGCCATCCAACCATCTCATCCTCCGTTGTCCCCTTCTCCTCCCGCCTTCAATCTTTCCCCAAATCGGGGTCTTTTCCAATGAGTCAGTTCTTCACATCAGGTGGCCAAAATATCAGAGTTTCAGCTTCAGCATCAGTCCTTCCGATGAACACCCAGGACTGATCTCCTTTAGGATGGACTGGTTGGATCTCCTTGCAGTCCAAGGGACTCTCAAGAGTCTTCTCCAACACCACAGTTCAAAAGCATCAATTCTTCGGTGCTCAGCTTTCTTTATGGTCCAACTCTCACATCCATACATGACTACTGGAAAAACCACAGCTTTGATTAGCAGACATTTGTTGGCAAAGTAATGTCTCTCCTTTTTAATATCCTGTCTAGGTTAATAGCTATTCTTTCAAAGAGCAAGTGTCTTCTAATTTCATGGCTACAGTCACCATCTGCAGTGATTTTGGAGCACTGCCACCAAAAACAGTCTCTCACTGCTTCCATTGTTTCCCCACCTATTTGCCATGAAGTGATGGGACCAGATGCCATGATCTTAGTTTTCTATATGTTGAGTTTTAAGCCAACTTTTTCACTCTCCTCTTTCACTTTCATCAGGAGGCTCTTTAGTTC